TAATTAATTCATAATTAATATATTCAATAATTAATTCATAATTAATAAATTTAATAATTAATATATTCAATAATTAATTAATAAGTAATATATTCAATAATTAATTAATAAGTAATATATTCAATATTTAATAGTTAATATTGAAAAAAATTATTTTTTAATATTTTAAATACAAAATATAGTATTCAACATTTACTATTTATTAGTTTATTTTTTTATATTTTATATTTTTAATGTTAATGTTGAGTAATATTTAATATTTCGTTGTTAAGGGGACCTCCCCTCAGAAATGATTTGCCACTTAGAATGGTTCTTTGGGGCTGAAATTTTCAGGGATTACTTATCCTGGTGAGAAACGCTTCTAGTAAAAATTTCAGCCCTATAGATCGTATTAGACCGAATTTCCAGCTGACTCATAGGTCATTTTTGGCCTTTAGTAGAATCGGTATAACTTCGTCGTGACACGAAGTATAGAGCTCGAGGTGGTTTCAAATTAAAGCTAATGTTAGTATGCAGCTTTTCATCAACCAGCATTTTTAAATTCCCTATTGTTCATTTTTTAAGAGTATTTTAGTAGATAGGTCTTAAAAGAAGAATAAAAAACAGTGATCCGACGACAGTAAATTTCACTTTTCTCAGCCTAGGAATCGACTTTAAAAAAACTGGTTGATCAAAAGTTTACTCTTATTAAGACCTTTCAAACAAAAAAAATATTGGTTATAGCTCCAGAAATGAGAGAGGAGTTCCAATTTTTCTGATTAGAAACTATGCTCTGAGAAAAACGCTAAAGAAGTTTTAGAAGTGGATTTTTTCATTCAAATCCAGGACAAGTCATGTTACAATGGTATATTCCACTGGACTGTCTTAAAGGACATCATAGATGACGACAGCTAACGCTATCTGACATGCTGATTAGTATATAAAAATGTTTTGTTCAATGATAATGCCAGTGGGAACGTAATTTTTATGAAATTGACAACCTTGAAAAACCATGAAGCTTTCTGCAAATACATGGTAGTAGATTTAAAGTTTCATGTGAAAAGTCTTTGAAAATCTGATTATTTCCCAAAAAACTATATATATTATGAGAGAGGAAGCTTCGCTGCATCTTCCTGTAATAAAAACTCGATTTTCTGAGGGAGAAAGGCTCTTAAGCCATTATTGGGCAATGACCGGCCGTCATTGACATATCATTAAAAAAATAGAATTTATGTATTAGAGATATATGACAATACAAATAATTTTTTTCAATATTACGACGTTAAATAAATGAAATAATCTGATAGAAAAGTAATTATACATATGAACGGATCCACTAAAGAAAATTTCAGAGCGCGTGTACAACTATCAAAATTATTATAATTCTGATTTATTCATCTATTTGATATTTTTTAAATAACTTATTTTAAAACCTCTAACCGTATGTGTTAAATTTAAAAGACTCAGAGTTTGTGAATTCCAGATTTCGGCTCCTCTTGGGGCTCGCACTGACAAGTTTTTTCTATATATTTTGTTTTATATGTAGACACTTTTATAAGTAGATGACAATTTTTTTGAGATATCGAAACTGTTAAACTTTTTCTCAACATGAAACGTAAGATTTTAAAGAGGTATATCATACCTTGTATTTTAACATGCTCTTTCAAACAAAAACCAATTAAATAACGGGTGTGGCAAAAGTTTTGCATTACTTTTGTTTTTGATATAACTCTGCAACGCAATGTCGTACAGACTTGATTTTTTTTTTGTTAGAAAGAGCAAAGTGTCTAGTGCAAAAATATATAAAAGAATTTGATTTGTAATGCTTTTCAAAGGCCACAATAGTTTTAGAACACAATGCTCCGAAAAACTCTTCCGCAACTTTCGTCATATCTTTTTAATCTAAAAATATTTGTTTGAGCCTTTTTCATTAGCCACTTTCGAGCACCATATATATATACAGTTGTTCATTACAACGAAGGTTTTCATTTGGTATTAAAATAATTGGTTTAACATACAAGAGAATGAACAAAAGACACGTTGATAAAAACAAATTAATTGTTCGAATTTGGTTTTGCAGCGTGAAAATAAATTTTTTTCTTAATATCTCATAGAGAAGTTGCGTCCTATTTCAAATAATATCATTTGGTAGAGGACTCAATAAACTTTCTTTTATAAAATATATACCTCCTAGCAATCTCTCCTACGAAATAGAGTTTATTTTTTCGATTGCTACCAACAATGATGAAAAATCGATGACACAGACGATATCATAAAAGCGTTCATTTCAACAGTTATAAAACATGTAGAAAATTTCTTTTTTTGTAATGCAATAGTGCTCTATCCTTATATTATAAAATCCGGATTAGACGAATAAAAAGATAACCTGTCTAATTATAGGAATTTTTTCTAAGTTCAAAAAAGGTGCGAAAGAGTTTTCCAACGCCTTCGGTTCTAAGATTGTTGTAGTTTTCGAAAAACATTTCCAATCAAACTCTTTTATATATTCTTGCACTAGACACTTTGCTCTTTCTAACAAAAAAAAAATCAAGTCGTCACGACATTGCGTTGCAGAATTATATCAAAAACAAAATTAATGCAAAACTTTTGCCACATCCGTTATATATATATGTAGTAGGAAGATTAACAGAGAATTATGAATTGCCAAATGAGTTAATTTGAGTACTTATTTGATGAATATCTCTCCAAAACTACCATAACCTTTTCACTACACTTCTAATATATTCTGAAAATCTCAGACAATAAGAATATACTTGACATGATATTTGTTTTTAAAAAGAGACGGAGCTTGCGTACTCATTCTGATTCATCAACAATATATAGAAGCATGAATGCGACATCTGATGCTACACAATTAAAAAAAAAGCAATCAGTACATTGCTATTGTGTCCTTGTTTTCTTTTGTAAAATTTGAATATCTTATCAGTAACAATTAATAAACTAATGTTTGATATTTTTTACACGTTTACTTTTAAAATCAATGTTAATATTAAGATAGAACATGAGTTTTCTTTTTCTTAGAACATAATGATGACTATTAATATCCATTAATTATTTTTTTCCACAAATTACAACGGTCCCTTAGCTCAGCCGGTTAGAGCGCCGTGCTAATAACGCGGAGGTCATGAGTTCGATCCTCATAGGGACCAGACTTTTTTTTCTCTTTTCATCATTCTCTAGAGTAAAACAACTAAAAAAAGAAGAAAAAAAAAAGAAGTATCAGATAACAATATACAATAACGTAAGTCTTCGTTTGTTCGTCACTTTCTTCAATAACCTTCTATTTTATATTTTGATAAGATACAATGAATAAGATAAAGAGCAAAGATTATTCATCTTCTGTATTTTATTGTAAAAAGAACAACGACAATAACAACAATGATAAGACAAAAAAAAAAAAAAAAAAAAGAAGAGTAAGAGAAAAATCATTTAACCTAGATCATAATCTTGAAACCAAATTCCAAATTTTATTTGTTCTTTTTACGTTCATTTTCATCATTTACTTTTATTGTTGGTTTCTTCGATAAATACGAGACACAAAAGAAATGAAGAAATAAACCAAAATAAATTGCATACATAACAAATGACCAGAATATATTAGCATAAGCAACAGCACATGATGCACCATTTTGTTTATAAACATATGCTTTATAATTAACAAAACATCCAACACCCATTTGTGATAATTGAAATACAGTAACAGTTACTTGCATCCATTTGGGTATGCGATATTTCATAGCACGAAATGCATAATATGTATACATCATTGCTAAAAATAAAAAGAATACAAAAAAATACAAAAAAAGAAAATAATTTAATATTTACCATGAACACTATAATTCATAAATACAAACCATCGTCCACTAGCTGTCCAATCATGATAACTATTAGAGAATAATTTTAATATTTTATTTCAAAAAAAAAACAAAAAAAAGAAATATTCATTCTTACCTATACCATGCATAAATTAAAACAGTAGCATGATGAAACCAATGAAGAAAAATTAATTTTTGTTTTCGTAATACAATAAATAATGTATCAATAAGTTCAGGAACTTTTGATATACAAAATATTGTTATCCTATTAAAACAAAAAAAAAAACAATAAATATTAAAATTTTGATTTTATTTGCATACCAAAATCCAGTTATGCCATAAATATTACTATTATTACAAATAGTATATTGTAAGCCTACTTTATCTAATGCATAAATCATTTCAGGCACACAGCGTATCATACCAAATATACTAAATAAAGCCAATGAAAGATTCCATAAAATTAATGGTAATCGTAATTCATAACGTTCACGTTTTTCCATTAATGATCGACCATAATAAATTAATCCAACATATATTATTGAATAAACAATACTTAACCACCACCATTTATTCATCCATGTATAAATATTAAAAGCATAAGTTTTATCAAAAAATTTTTTTTCAAAATCAAAAACAAATGGATGATGTATACCAACAGGATCACGAACCCATGATGTTATATGAAATTGATTTGGATTGAAATATTCACGTAGAATTGGATTTCGATAGAATGATCCAAACACTTCCATCAATGGAATATTCAATCTAAATTACAAAAAGGAAAAAGAAAAAAAACAAGACTAACACTCCGTTGTTTTTTTGCTCTATATTCTATGTCATTTAAATTATGTGAAATAAATGTTGGATGCATATATATATATATATATACTCTGCACCGTTTCTACGTTTAGCTTCTCGATGACGTCATCGAGCATCGTTCGAGATACTTCATAAACAGAAAAATGCAAGCGTTCGTTCGCGTAGGCCGATACGACGATGTGTGTAAAGAAATAAGAGACAGAAGAGAAAAAAAAAGGAAAGAAAAGAGAACGGAATGCTGGCGTTACAAATACATCATAAAGAATAAGACCATGGTTACTCTAACGAAAGACTAATAGAAACAAAAAAAAAACAACAACGACACCAACTGTAACTACCAATTTATTAATTTTACACATAGAAACAATGGACGGATACTGAAAAAATTCAAAAATTTGAGATTATAAAAAAAAAAATAGTAATTTTTCAGGTAAAAAAAAAAGAAGAGAATTCGATTAAATTTATCACTGAGATGCTAGTCTATGTCCATAGATTTCTATATATTGTTGAAGTTCTTGTTGAAGAAAAGCTGTACGTTGTTGTAAAAAAATAACTTGTTGTTTTAATGAATGTATTGTACTTTCTAAATCCATACGAACATCATTTGATAAAAGACCTTTAATATTATTTTCATATGTTAAACGATATTCAATCATTTCATGTTTATGTTGTTCTTTTAAATATGATAATTTACGTTCAAGTTGTTCTTTTTTTGATGCTAATATATTGAAATTTTTTTCTAAATTTTTCATACATATATCAAATTGCTAAAAGAAAAGAAAATATTATCTATGAATTTTTATATTAAACATAAACGAATAAAATTCATTATATTAAATTTCAAGGCTATTTTCCCTTCTCCATAAATGCATCAGAAGATAGTCGGATTAAACAATCTTTTATAAATGACATGATTTTTTTTTATTTGGCACTTCCTTGTTTGTCATTTCTGTCGTCATCCACTTGAAAGATCTTTGCTTGAGTCAATAAATTATTTTATTGTTTGAGAGAACGTCACTTTTTACTCTCTCGATAAAAAAAGTGCTATGTCATACCTTGCAACCTTACATATGCTTTTCAATAATAAAAAAAAAAAGAAAATTATTCATATAGAATGACACTTCACAGAGAATTTTGAGTTATTGAATGACGTATTTTTGATGTTGAATACTCTCCCGAAAGTGTAACAGTATGGAGCTGAAAATTTTATATGGTTTGAATGTATCTCGATTTTTGTGAGCGAACGGAATGACTTCAAGATACAGTTTGAAGAAATCGATTTTGTTTTTTTTCGAATATATTTTATATCAATATCGAATAATTACTAATTGCTCAGGTATCAAAACAGCTGTTGCTATTATTATCGTATCGTCATTATATACGCATGGCTTTTTACTTAAAAGAAAAAGTCATTTCATCGTTTGTTAAATTATGTTTCAACTGTGAATGAATGTTTGTGTTAAATTATCCTCAAGAATAATATCCAATTAGTTATCTACAATGTTTCTTTGAACCTTGCACGAACAGTTCAAAAGAATATATCCTAATTAGGTCAAGTTTTTTTTTTCTTGAATTTTCTTAATGTCAAAATAATTGATCTAGACACAATTCTATTGGGAACTCAATAAGAATAGAGATGTTCCAGGATTGTCAGAAAGATCGATGATGATTGAAAGATTCGAGAGGAGTCATTCATGAACAAGTGTCTTTTTTCTTTTTTATTCGAATTAAAATACTTGAACATACTGTTTTAATTTCATTTTTTTCACGTAGAGATTGTTCACTTAAAATTCTACATTGTTTTTCATATAATATTTTCACTTGATTTTCTTCATCTTTATATGCTTGAATAATTTTTTGTTGATCATCGATAATTAATTGTTGATTAGTATGACGAATTTCAAATGCATCTATAAAATAAAAATATATCAAATAGAAAATAAAAAAAAAAAAAAGAAAATTTCTTTTAAAACAAACCTTCCATTGATTTTAATTGTTCATGTGTTTTAGAAATTAAAATTTCAATACGTTTTTCATATTCATCTGTTTTTTGTATATGATTTTTTTCGAATTTTTGAATAAATTGTTCATATTCATTGATAATCTATTTATGAATAAAAACAAAAGAAAAGGAATTTAATTATTCTTCTGATAACAAAATCATGTTTGTTTTAGTTTTCTACAATGTGAGAATTAAAAAATTAATTATGTTCATTGTTTTATCTAAATAAAGAATTAGTTTCGAGAAATAAATGTGATATATATAATCAATTGAAATATTAACTATGTGAGATAGTATAGTGAATTATAATTTTAGACGATAATTGAAAATATTACCTGTTAGAATTTTTTTTTTTTTTCATTAATGAAATACATCTAATGGCTGAATGATGTAGAATTTACTTGTAACTGATAGAATATTTAGAGAATAAGAAAAGCATCATTTTATCTTTTAAGATGATATCACTTTAGATCGTTTTTAAACAAGCCGATGCATTGATCAATGGCTAAGATTTTCCTTTAAGTTCGAGAAATTTTCAAATGAAAAAAAGCGAGAGAGAAAACAATGGTTGAGAACTTATTGCCACAAGACCAGAGGATAACATGTCCAACAATTGATTTGGGACGTTGGGGAATTTTTTTTAAAATCAAATATCTATTTTTTGTGCCGCGATGATGGCGACCAAGCCAATCGACTTATACTTCCATTTCGAACTTTGTAATCTTGATAAAACAAAAAAAGTGAATAATCGAAGTGTGTCTCACAAGAGAAAATTGCTTCCGGGAATCTCCTTTTCCGAGATTTCTTCAGAATGATTCGGCGAAAATTTTTGAAACTTTGATCTCGATGAGTAGAACAAAAGTTGTCATAGACTTAAAACTCCTAAAGGCATTCATTCCGGAGATTTTGGTAGATCAAAGACTAAAAGTGACCTCAAGTTTTCGGTAGAATATTTTCAAAAGGACAAAAAAAAAACGATACACTTCAATCTGATTGAAGTATCCATTAAAAAAAGTTTGAGCTCAATTGATCATAACGTTTAGGGGAAAAACACGAAGAAAATTGAACTTTTTAGCATAACATAGAATTTTTAAGTTGTTTCACCTTCTTAAAATGTGCTTATTAGATAGAAGGCATCTACATCTATATATCGAACACAAAAAATAAAAACTGAAAATTTTAGATCGAGAAACGAAAGGATGGTTTCCTTAATGAATAAAAATTTTTTAGTATATATTTATTTTCTATCAGCCTAAAAGCAAAAAAAAAGAAGTAAGACTCAGCTTGACTAAAACAAGTTACTTTGACTAGGACAAAAAAAACGTTGGTTTCACACAAACTTCTATTCAGTATAGAATTTCATCGTTTCTAAATTAGTTAAATTACTCTGTTTGATTTATCGATCTTTTTTGCAATGAGTAAAACTGTATTTGTTTCCCATTCATCTTATTAACAGGTTTGTTTTTTGGCAGTTGAATTCGTTCAATTAAGATTTGTAGACCATTGATTTCGAATTTTGAGAAATATAATTCAACAATTTCATTCAATATAAAACAAAACTTTTGTCTTTCATACACACCAATCATCTCATTTTACTGCAGAAGCTACTCAAAATTATATACTATGATGTTACATTTCTTATCTTCAAGGATGAAGAAAAAAGAAATACTTTTTTTTTTAACTTCTGTGAATCAATAAAAAAATCAAAGTATTTTATAATGTCAATGAAAAACTAAATAGTACAGTAAGTGGTTTCTATATATAAAATCCTATCGAAATTTTTACTTAGAATATCTCTTAATACAGTCTTGCATTTAGTAAAAATTTTCTATGAGAAATATCGTGTAATATTTTATTTCCTTCTTTTAGTATGAGTTGTAAAACTTTATGTTTGTTATCAGAGGTCGCGAAAGGAGGGGATGTACATCTCCAATAATTAAGAATTATTGTTTTGGCTAAGTTTTTGATATATATAACCCCCTGCTGCAAACGTCTTTAGATAAAATGTTTATTCATTTTTCAGCCGCTTAAACGTCATTAGTGAGAATCAAAAGTAGTTAGCTAAAATCAGATTTTTGTGCTCTTTTCGAATATCTGATCAGAATATTTCACTGACTCAATATTGATTAGGGATAAGCCAAATGTTTGACAGAGTCGAAAATGATGTTTGTACAGAATTTTATTGGATGTATTTTTGTGTTTTGATCGATATCTACTCTACGCAAAACAAGAAAGATATTTTCATCAGACAAGTTTATAGAGCGAAATTTGCTCTACAAACTATGCTATTTAGTTTGGTTTTCCATCTGGAAACAAATACATGCAATCTGTTGTATTATAAATAGAATATCTTGGAAAATTGACTTTTTGGCAGAATTTTATTTTACGTACCAATCAGTTCTCAGAAAAACGTCTACAACCTTTTATTCATTTGAGTTGAAGCCTATTGTCATATATGGTTTTATAGAGAATTGAATACTCTACAAATTACCAATTTCGAACTGCTTCAAAATCCAACTTACATAAGTAATGAATAGCGGGAAAACATGTGTTTTCTTCGTCGAGATGTCATTCTTCGCCTCTTTCAAGTATTAACTTACAGCTAACCAATCTTAAGCCAAAGAAATATTCTGGACACATATCAGAGAAGAGCAGATAAGACTGACTATAAGGAGCTACTTTTGGTTCGTATCAAATATTCTTAGCGGCTGAAAGATGAACAAACATTTACAGAATGACTTTTTGTACAGACATCATTTTTCATTCTGTCAAACATTTGGCCCATTTCTAATCAATGTTAAGTCAAAGAAATATTCTGATCAGATATTCGGAAAGAACACAAAAATCTGATTTTAGCTAACTGCTTTTGATTCTCACTAATGACGTTTAGGCGACTGAAAAATGAATAAACATTTTGTCTAAAGACTTTTGCAACAGAGGTTATTTTTTTCATATAAACAAACCTGTTGTTTTTCGACTTCTTGTGTACGTTTGATTTCAACAGATAATTGATTAAATTTTTGTAAATCATTCTTTATTTTTTCTTCTTTTTTTTCGATTATTTGTTCATAATGATGTTTGATTTCTTCAATATCTTTATTAAAATTTTCACGTAATTTTTCTTGATCTCTAAATTAAATAAAAAAAAAAAAAAAAAGAGAAAGAATTTTTCGTTTGTAGATTTTTAAAGATGACAAACTGTTGATTAGTTTGATCATATTCATGTTTCAATTTATTGATTAATATTTGTTCATTTTCATATATTTTATTATTCATTTCTTGAATCTAAAAAAAAAAAAAGATAATGTTTTTGAAGTAAAAATAAAATTTTACTTTATTATCTAAATCAATTTTAATTTGATGTTTATGTTGTCGTAATTCATTTTCTTTTTGTTCATAATGTTGAATAGATAAAATATAATTATTATTTTGTTCTTGTAATTCTTGTTTTAATTTTAGAAATTTTTTTTCATTATCATTTTCATATTGTTTTATATTATTATGATAAATTATTTGTTGTTCATTTAATTTTTGTTCGAATATTTTTTCCATATTTTGATATTGTTCAGTTATTTTTAATAATTTTTTTTCTAAATCATCTATTGTTTTAGTTGATTTACTTTTTAATACATCATTTTCTTTACGTAAAAAATCAATATTTGTTTCACAACGAAGATGAACAGATTTTAATTCATTTTCATAACGTTGAATCTTATCAGTATGATCACGATCAATATGACGTTGCTTATTTGTTAATTCTTGAATCTTAAAAAATAATATTGATTTGATAGGGATATTCAAAGTGAATAGATATTTCTGTAAACGTAGTCTATTAAACTAAAGATAAAATTATCTTCTATGTCAATACAACCTACATGCTACCATATATTGAGAAAACAATAAAAAGTTTAGTATCATTCTCTGTTGTCGTAAGTCGATCGTTAGTTGTTGATTACGGTGTACATTATCACATAACGTATTTAGTTACCATCAACATGCAATGGTAATTATAAAACGTTGAAAAGTTATTCTTAAATGTTTTGTTCGTCAAGGATGTTCGATATATGAATAGTTGTCTTGTTCGATTCGATTAATTAAATTAGTAAAAAAACGACCATTCTTTCGTTTTTAAAAGTAATTATTTGCGCTAGATACATTCAAATCATCTGAAATCTCTAGCTTTATATCATAAGGTTCGAGAGAGAGAGTTATTTTATCAACCAAGGATTAAAAATAGTTCATTTAGCAATCCGAAATTCTCTGTCGACCTTCATTCTGTATATTTAATTTCCTTTTTTGATTGAAAGAACATATCAAAATGCAGGGCATGTCGTCCGAGGCCTTTTATTTTATGTAGACAAAAAGGAGTGACAAGTTGAAGGTCTCGAAAAAAAAACAAATTCTCTAACAAATTTGGGATCTATTTATATAAGTGTTTGTTTATATAATAGTAATAATACTTCATTCTCATGCTCCTGTTGCATCCTGATATACTCTTTCAATCAAAAAAAAAAAAAGAAAAATTAAATCTATAGAATTTAAGGTCAACAAAGAATTTTCGGTTATATGATCAAAAAATCATTATCCACATTTTTAAGCTTCATTTAAAATTTTGTCTATTCTTCTACTATTCATATACATAGATTACAACTTTGATAAGATAAGTTATCAAAATTGTGTTGATTACGTTAAATGAATAAGAATGGTATTACTTCGATGCTATCACCAGATTTAATATTTCCAGAAAATATTCACATGAACAATAGACATATTTTTCTATGAGAAAAAAAAGCTAATCATATACAAGATCAAATCATTATGTTATTAAATAGCACACGGTCAATTTCTGCTACACAAAGCTTTAAGTTTTGTCGAACTTCGATAGCCGGTCTCTTTTTCTTTATTTTCAACTGAATATAAAAATCTTAGTCATACTTTCATTTTTGAGGTTAACATTCTATAGATATTTTCTTACCTTTTCGTAAATAATATTTTGTGTATCATTCAATTCTCTTTATAGATAAATATACTCTGTTATTCAGTTGAGTATTAATATAATGCGTAGTTTTATTCTAATTTAATAGTCTATAGTTTATATTAATAATACAATTCGGATTTTTTCTTCTCTTATTGTTAATAGTCAGAATTCTACTTTATCGAAATACCTGTAATTGTAATTGTTCATTAGTTTTAATTAATTGAATTTTATCATCTTCAAGTTTTTGTTTCAATTGTTGAAGATGTTCGAAATTTGAACGTAAATCTATTATTCGTTTTTCCATTTCATCAATAGTTGATTCATTTGTTAATTGTTCATATTTATAATTATTTTCCGTTTTTTTTAAATGCTAAAACCAAAAAAAAGATTTCGTTTTTTGGTAATATTAATTCAAATAGATAATAATATTACTTGATTTGTTTCATCTAATAAATCTTGATAGACTTTTGAATGTTGTTGTTTAATTTCTTGTTTATCATTTTCATGAATAATTTTTATATCATGAATTTTTCTTTCTAAAGTCTTTTTAAATTCTTTTAAATGTTGTTGTAATGTTTTCTGTATTATAATAAAAAAAAAAATAATAATAATAATACAAAATTTTAATTTTTAAAATAAAAATTTTACTTGTTCAATTTTATTTTGTTCTTTTTCATGTGTAATTTCAATTTTTAAACGTTTATTTTCTTCATTTATTTGACCTAAATGAATTTCTGATTGTATTTTATTATCTTCTAATCCATGTAATTTTGTTTCATAATAAAATTTTAATTTATTTAATTCATTAGTTTTTATTTCATTCATTTGTTCAATTTTTCTATCATATTCTTTTTGATAAGTAATAAAACGATGTTCATTATCATTTGAATTAATATATTGTGTTTGTTGTGTTGATATTAAATCATGAGATGATGAAGATCGATAAGGTTGTCGTTGTTGATTTGGTAACGATGTTGATGTTATTGAATGAATAGTTTGAATTGAATTTATTCAGAAATATCATTCTCTTATATTACATTTTAAAGTAAAATTGACATTGATTGAACGGTTTTCGAATGATTTTATTGATTTAATACCATTAAAATTCTTAGTTTGTTGAAGATTTACTGTTGGCTGTTCATTATGAACAAATAAATTTTTTTCTTGTTGTTCACCGTTGAATAATGAAGTCATTTATATGAAAAAAATTCAATCGATGAAATAAGAAAAGAATCAAGCCTTGATGAATGGAAGCACATACAGCACGTAACCGCAAACACACAATATAATTCTAAATTAAATAAACAATAATAATAAATATAAAATGGAATCATTTAATCATAGATGGCGTTCATTTATGTTTCAAAAGAAATTTATAAAAATAAAATCATAGTTTTGATATTTATTTTCTACAATTTGAAATTTCTTTTATTTTGTTTTATGAAAACAAAACTTTCTACCTTTGGTTCTATAGAACTTAAAGTACTGACTATTCTTGAACTTATATTTTAAATACATGTGTGTGTGACAATGAACTCTGATCGTAAGCACCAGTTCGTCTATGTCCTGAAATTATGATTCAGATATAATCCTTCACTTATTGAAAAAAATATTCAATAGAAATTTGCATTCAACAAATATTCATTTTCCATTTTTTTTTGTTGTTGTCTAATGCTAAAGACAATCTGACAAGTCTATTTTAGTATTACTAAAATGCGTGACACATAATCTAGATTTAAGTGATTAGCATGTCTTGAGAGAGAAAATCTATGTCATAACACTAACTTGATATAGTTCAGTGTTGCGAGCACGAACTTGTTATTTCATGGGAATTTTCAAATGAACAATTCGAAATCATTATGAAAAACGACCCATGTTGCAAAAAACAAAATAGACATTCTTAATGAGAAAACAATAACTCAATTATTTTAAAATGATTTATCACCTAGAGATAGCTGTGATATTGGACTATTGAATGAAGTACTTAAGCCAATATGATCGAGATAAGGTAATTACAAGAGGAAGGTAATGTTTGACATGTGAAACGATGGAGGGCGGGACTAATTGTTGCATGCATGCAGTGAAAATATCGTCTCACGACGAAACCATCGGAGATAATACATCGCGTTTGAGATGAGACTCAGTCATTCGATAGGATCTGTTATGAATAGAAGGATTCTTGCTCATGCAATGATGCTGACCGTTACAATGGATTTTTTTTACCTTTCGCACGATATTTACAAAAAAAAACCGCACAAACGAATTTTAGTCTAAAATTTTGTCTATAGACAACTCTTGAAGCTATTAGAATCTTCGAAAAATTTCCGTTTTTTAATGACCTTAAGAGCTGTCTATGGACGAAATTTTAGGTCAAAATTCGTTTATCCGAATTTTTTATAACTACTGTGTTAAAGAGTAGCGCATAGGTATGACTCTTTCTAGTCTCAACAGGTCGTATCTAATGACTCGAGTCTCATCTTAAACGTAAGTTATCACCTCAAATGGTTCACTTGTCTGTATATCATAAAGAATAATACCATTTCAGGAAACTGTACAACACAAAAATTTGATGTTAATATTTAAACATAGTATAATAGTGTAAATTAATACATAGAAATAAATGTTATCTACATTGTTTTTATCGATAAGATAAAGATATGATTTTCTCAAGTATTTAGAGATAATATTCTTACTACTATAGTACTGATATAAATTGAAACATTTTATAAAAGTCTTTGGAAAAATATCAATTGCTGCTTATTGCCGACTTTCAAAATCAAGAAATTTTTTCTTGTTAGGAAAGAACAATGTCTGAAGTGGATATTTTGTATCAGACATATTTTTCTAGAACGAACTTGACGAAGAAGAAAAGCTGCTCAAAACTAAATACTTCGAAAAAAAAAAAGTTTTTGTAATTTCACTGTCAAGCAACTTTTCTATTAGTTTTATTAAAAAAAACCCGTTGAACATTGATTTCTTCTTCATAACGTAAAGAATGCTCGTTTCATTTAAATTTATTCTTAGTTTTTATACCAAAGTATATAGTTTTGTCTGAGGAAAAAATGAATAAATTAGTCATTCTTACTGCCTGATCGTTGAATAAATAATGCAAAAAGAATTCAATTTATGCATAAGTGCTAGAGATGGTAACTGAGATAAATTTTTTACAGGTGTTGAGTTTTTGCACTTTCCTCTTCATCAGGTTCGTTCTCGAAAAATATCTCCGACATCAAATTTGTATTTTAGACATTGATCTTTCTAACAAAAAGAAATTTTTTTTTAATTTAGAAGTCATCAATATGATATAATAGAGTTTGACATTTTTTTCCCAAAGACTTTTGCATCGCATATTTGTTACTTTTCAGCAAGTTCGACTGAACCAACGATAAAAATTTACTAACAGAAGAGAAAGTAATCATAAAGAATGGATCAATTTATATTAAGAGTATATTTGAAATTAATAATCCTAAGTTTAGCTTTTTTTTTTTGTTAAACAAAGCGATTATGTAAAAGTGCATAGCGAGTTTTTTGACTATTATAGCGAATTCGATATGATATTTTACTGCATTAAATTCTATCGACAGAAAAATTCGACATTCAATGAGCAACACTCAGTCGTCTACTATCTGTAATTAATTGATAATTTCATTTGTTAAATTGCTTGAATTTAATTTTCTTAATTATATTGCTTTTTTTTAAAAATATTTTCTCTGAATGCTAAAAAAATACTTTGCTTTGCTAATTTGATGATGTGTGATGAGCTAGGTTAAATAAGAAGTGCGGGCAAGCAATAATAGTTGATTATTTTTCAAAAAATTCAGAGTATATGAGTAAATCTAAGGGTGAGGAAGAAACAATGAAGACTGCAAACTTGAAATTCATTGCCTTATTGTCATGTAAGATAGAGGAACAACAACAAAACAAAAAAACGTGGAATGAAGCTTTGCTTGCAATAAATAGTTCAAATTCCTGTTTGAATGTTCTTAACTTGCGATTACATCTAAATTTAAGTGTTTTGTCATATACGTACAAGTGAAAACTTTTTTTCTAAAAGTGACGTGTGTCAATTTAACGACATATAATTTTTGTTACGAATTTCGTTGATCTCTATTTGTGAGCGAGTACATTTGATTGACATGTCTATAGAGAAAATCTTTTTGTTTTGATTATATGAAGAAAATATATATTTCATTTGAATAAAAGTACATGTACTGATGGTTTTGAGCAATATTAATAAATTTTTACTCATCATATTAACATTGAATTGTCAAAAATATTTTCTAAATCGATGAATAAAAACGTTTTTTTGCAATTCATTTTTTAATATATATATATATAATACAATATGTATAATCGACGAAATCTTTTTTCCTTCTTTTTATCGTTCGACAATTTAGAGTGCTGAATCCATACTTAAGTCAAAAAAATGTTTAATAAAAATAACACAATTGTTATTTTTGCGTCTGTTACTTATGTTTTTTTTAGACTGTTTGATGGTTCGTTTTTCTTTTTTCATTCTCTTCATCTTTTTTTTTCTTCTCCATTTAATTGTAACGAGAGTCATGCATCGTTCCAATACACAAACATCGGTATGTAAAAAGTCATAAAATCGAACTTTTACCTTTTTTTTTCTTGTTCTCTTGTTATTCTCTTTAAATTAAAGTTTTAAGACATTCCAAATTTTTTTTTTCTTTAGTTGTCACTTTTTGTTATTATTTGATTATAAAAGAGGTAAGAATTTGATCAACATTTGAAAATATGATCTCAAACATACATATATCAGTAATGATTCTAAAAAACAAAAATATTAATAACATCACAAAAAAAGAATAAAGATTTAATCCTTTTTTTTCTTGTATTTTAGTCGTTTTACATATAAGTATGTCGGCACGACCTGTATCATCTAATAAAAAAAGTAGTCGAAAAAGAATTGATTCATCATCGAGTAAGAAAGGTAAGAAAAATATTCCACAAGAAGAAGTTATTGATCATCATCAAATACAAATTGATGGATTAATACGTGAACGTGAAGAAATTCGTTCAAAATTGAATAGTATCTGTTCGAAAATAATAGAAAATATTAATATTGATGATTATCAAAATGAAATCGATTTAACAAAACAACAACCATCTGATATATCTCTTGATAATTTATTATCAATGATTGATAATATATGTTATTATCGAACAGCTTTTTTAAATCTTTTTCAAGAAATAGACGATAAAGAAAAACTTTCTATTCAAAAACGTATTACACAATTATCTGTTGATGAACCAAATCTATTTCGAAAACGTCTTACATCAGATCAACGATTAACATTTGTTATACGTGAACGTGATTTATGGAAAGAAAATGCACAATTACTTCAAATTATGTATGCTACAATAGGTAAGCAAAAAAAATAATAATCAATTTAATAATAAAAATAATAATCTTATATATTATTTTAGTTGATCAATTAGAAATGGGTATATTTAAAAAATTAAATTTAAAAACAACTGATATTCTTCAATCACATCGATTAAATCTTGAAGATGTTTGTCGTATTTTTTCATCTCCTAATATTCGATCAAGTAAGTTTATTTAATTAAATCATTTAATTTAATCAATGAAAATATTTTTGTAATAGTTAATGATGCAAAAAAATTACATTTAAAAAAAACATTTAATAAAGAACATCATGAAATAAAAGATCAAAAGATTTCTTCTGATTTTCAACAACAAGGTAATAATTCTTACATATTATCACCATCATCTATAATTCCATTAAATCTAAATGAAGACAAAGAACATCATCATAATAATAATAATAATCTATCTTCAAATACAAAACGAACTGTTTTATTTGCTAATGAAGTTCGTATAATTAATGATGATAAACAAATTGATCATCAACAAACAAAAAATGATGAACAATTAAAAGAAAATTTTTTTTCATCAAAATCTCATCTTCCATTAGCAAGTGATACATTAATAGATAAAATGGATTCAAATTTACGTATGTTAATTATCAAAGAACTTAGTAAAGATAATTATATTCAAAGGCCACCTTCAAGAATGAGTTAGTTAGTTTTCTATTATATAATTTTTTTTTTTTTTTTTAATATAAATAGGTTCGAATTATACTGAAAATATCAATGATTTTAATTCTTATCAAAAACAACATCGATCACGAAATAGATCACCTGAATGGGTTGCATTAGCACAATTGATTGGAATAGATCAATCCGAAATTGATCATTGGTTATCACAAAGTCTTCAATATCCTGCTGGTAGAGTTATATCTACTTGGTGTAATAGTATATTACCATCACCAACTGTTGCTCAATTATATTCTCTTCTTTCAACAAATAAATTAAATCGATTAGATCTTGCACATCAAATTGCAACGATGTATAACGTTTAAAATAAATAAACAGAAATATATATGTATTTTTTTATCATGATATAAAAGATTTTCTATCGATTTTCATATAATTTTATGTTTCAGTAAATCATTGCAAAACAAAGCATAAGGATATTTTTTTTTTCTTGTGAATTAAAATATTCAATCATACATTGTTGTTTCATTTTAAGAGCAGACGGGAAAAGAAAAACTTATTTCAAAATTAAAGTTTGTTTTGCTCTCATCCAATTGTCGAAATATATCAATCATATCAGATAATGAGGACTTGTGAAAATGGAAATAGATAGAGATCTACTATTCATTTCAAAATAGAACGCGAGTGATTGCAAATCGAATAACTCGAGAACGGAAGCAGCTATGGAGCTGTGGTTTTCACCATTAAAAAGCGGACACTGGGCCACGTAAGTCTATAAAAAAAATTTCGTCGGTCAGTAAAACACTTTTTTCGTTGGATTTTGAATTTCAATTAAACTATTCGATAGAGAAGATTGTTCTCTTTCGATCTATGCAAGGCCGAGCTCGATAGCTTGCTCCGTTCGATAGCAAAGTAACCTGAGATGATTACATAAAGGTTTTCGTGAATCTAGTTTTTGATGCTATTTGGCTTAAAGAACGCGTATATTGAAAATCTTGATACAGTGATCTCAGGTTACTTTGAAATGAAAAACAAATATCACTACTAAATTCAGCGTGGTCGATTACCTAAAATATAATGCTTTTAAGGATGATTCCGCGTTACCTGACCGATTTCGGAGTCTCAGAAAAATGCTTGCAACTACCGAACGGAGCAAGCTATCGAGCTCGGCCTTACATAGATCGAAAGAGAACAATCTTCTCTATCGAATAGTTTAATTGAAGTTCAAAATCCAAAGAAAAAAGCGTTCCAAAAGCTATCTTCAAAATATTCAGCGGGCTTTTATCCTATTGGTCCATTACTGACCAATAAAATTTGTCCATAGATTTACGTGCCTCAATGTCCGCTTTTTAATGGTGAAAACCGCAACTCCATAGCTGCTTCTGTTCCAGACTTATTCGGCTCGCAATCACTCGCTTTGTATTTTGAAATAGATAGTAGTGGATAAATGCCAAAAGCTTTTACATTTCTTAAATTGTGTATTTCTCTAATTTTTATTACTTTACCTTTGTGATAAAATGAAAAATTAATATCAATCATTACTATTGCTTTTTATACTCGAAGTGCTTCTATGTTCAAATATTATTATTATTGATCAATAAAGAAAATGTTGAAGTTAAACTTTATATATATTTCTAGTCTTGTTCAAACAATATATAATTCAATATCGATAGTAAGCTAAAAACGAATGAAATTATACAATCAAAATTGGATTATTATCATTAATGACTATTAGATAAGGATGTTCCAGTTATTGATCCTGATTTGTTTTCAAGATATTAGACGTGGTCATTCAAAATTAACAATAGCTATTTATGAAATTTGATAATCATTTATTCTTAAGTAAAAAATTCACTCAATTATAAAAAACAATAAAAATAAAATTCACACATATACTGAATGACATTATACATATATGCTTATAGAAAATCAAATTAATTTATTTACATATAAAAACATCCAAACCTACCCACCCACCCCTTAGAATGTTTATGTTAAAGAAGCATTGGGAAAGAAGATAGGAAAAATCCACATGGCCAAAAATCAATAAATTGCTATTTTACGAGTGTGTTTTTTTTTGGATCATTATAGTTGACATTGCGCAGGCTTGATCACGAACTGGCTACCGGTATTCATGGTCTCACAAGAGAACAACATATCCAACTGTCGAGGATCGTTCGACACTATATTTTGGTAATGAGTAGAACTCAGTGAAACTAAGAAGAGTCTAAAGCGAGTTTGAACTCATACTTTAATAAGCCAGAGTTATAATCATTTTAGTAGATTTTCGGCATCTGAGTCAGCTATTCATGGAAAAGTCAATGACGAGAATTTCAGCTCAAACGAATATATTTTTCTTGAGATATCGAGTGCCTAAAACAATTCGATATCTGAAAAAGAATACATTCGTTTTTGTTGAAACTTTTAAGACATTCTAACGGCCATGAAAGTTGTCTATGGATAAGTTTCAGATCAGAATCTCATAATTGAGGTTTCCATGAACAACTGATACAGTGGTCGAATACAGACTAAATTGCCATCACTCTAGCTAGATAATGCATATGTCTAAACCCTTTTAGGCTTTTCTTAGCTTTATTGAGTCCTACTCGTAGCCAGAATATGAGACCGGACGGTATTCGACAGTTGGATATGTTTTCTTGCCAGTGGAACATGGTCATGATGTGGACATTAATATAGTATTCTAGTCGAGACTGTTCATTAATCAAGTACACCGGCATTTGGTTCATCAAATATATATACGAACAAACGCTTCAATTATTCGTCCGCATATATGGCATGACTTAAGTAAATGAGCACATGAAAGACAAGTACCCATATGACCACACGGAATGAAAGCGAGACATCTTTCTTCCTTTATGCAGACTGCACATAGAGTCACGGGCGTTAATTCTATTGACATCTGTTGATCCATCGATGATTCTGGTATTACACTTATTCCGACTTCAGCAGTGTTCAATGCATTTGTTGGCATTGCTGTCACTGGAGCCGAAATCGATGTTACACTAGCACGAGTTACTCCTATACAATCATCATATCAAAGAAATTCAATTGAATATATAATATTTTGTTTGAAATCTACCTGATTGTTGTTGTTGTCTTTCATGAATTTCACGCATTTTTTCAGCAGGAATGATAATATGTTCTTTTCTTTTGTCGATATGAATCATTTGGTTTTGAAGAACAATATAAGCCACTAATAGATCACCTTCAGATTCAAAGTCGACATCTAAAAATAACTCAAATTATAGATTCATTCTTTTTCTAGAATGAATTAAATATTTCAAATTACGACTTAATCGCAGTTGATTCGCCCAACAAAGTTTGATAATTGACAATTGAAAGTGTTGAGCAAGCAATTTTTGAGACATGGGCAATTTCAAACGAGCAGCTACCAGGTGTGATAGCTTTTCTTCATCGAATATGTGTAATTTTTGACCATCAACAGTGTTACTTTTTGTTGGATTATTGGTTCGAGTGAGTCCTATATCCAAAAAAGCAAAAAAAAAACACTGGTCAATTTGTTTATTTTTCAGAGAGAATATGTTGTGTACGTACTTTGTGCATCTCGTGTCGATTCTTGAATTGTTCGATGAAGGACATCTCCACAGAGTTGTTTAGCGTACGCACAATGTGGAAACCATCTGACATGTTCAATCATTGGATCATGATTGGCATTCCAGTTGTGAAGAGAACTACGACAGTAAAAGCAAGTAACAATTGAACCATTACCAGTATAAAAGAATCCTGCACGAACGAAGTCATCAATAGTGGGTAGAGGCCCATTTGGCCAAGTGGCAAATGATTCGATACGTTTTGGAATATATTCATAGACTGAATTGGGAGGTGCAATTAGAACAATTTCATTGGAATGAAATGTATGTGTATTAACTGCGCCTGCAGTGTGATTAGTCGTTGAATTATCATTAACATGTTTTTTACTATAGGACATTTGGGTGAGAGTGTTTGATGCACTTCGCATGGATCGTCACTATGCGGTATCCATTGATGACAAATAAGATTACAGTCAAGACAAATAACTCGATCATCAATATTACAACTAAAGAAACCAGCTTTGATCATCCGCTCTAGGCACAATGGACATGAAAAAGTCTCTTGTGAAAAAGTTCGATGACGACTTTGTTCGACTACCTCCGGTTTTGCGAACATGTGTGGATGAAGTTTTACTTCAGTTTCGGAAGTACTCTCACTAGTTGATTCTGTATTGATTTCATTTCGACTAGTAATTGGTGACGCACATGATGATAAAGAGACACTTTTATTGGATGATCGTATGGAACGAACGAATGCACAATTTGGACTGCGTTCTGCATGAATAGTAAAAGGCTTCATGGCCTTCGTCCAATCGGACACTTCTAGTTGACATTCATTGCATCGTACTGTATCACGAAAGTCTGTATATTCAAATCCAGCTGATTGCATAGCAATAACAGAATGAACACCTGGACATTTTGAAAGTTTTCGACAGATCTCTAAAGTATGGTCATATCGACGATCCATTTCAAAAAGTTTTTATTCTAGTTTAAGTTTGATCAGTAATTTATATTCTGTTTCTAAAAAGAAAACAATATTAATAAAAAAAATACACTCGATGTCCCATAAAACTCTATTAAAGTTTTTCATGTGAAAATAACCTTCAATTGCTACATCAGATGAATATATACACAACGAACTACACTTCCTCGACTCATTCATTCCTCACTCATCTAAAGTTCCATGGATGAATAAAGCGATCAGCATTGAGATTAAAGGTTTGTTGACAATATGTTGATTATTTTGTATGAGTCTGATGATGAAAGATGCCCGATTTTGCAATAATGTGAGTAATGTGAGACTGTCATTACTCTGCTCGTCATACTGTTGGTAGTTATTTGTTGGCAATGTATCAGAACGCAAAAGAAAAAATGAATATTTTACTAGTTGAGAGTAGTAAAAAACCAACCGAGCATAATATTGCATTAGCATTGATTGTTGAATTAAAATGAAATCAAAAGACTTATAAAATTTATCATTCCAAATCGTTCGAATTTTGGAAATCGAACAGTCGAATAATTTCAACAAAAATAGTATTTCTTCACCATAGATGTCGACATATTCTGGTGGATTTACAAATTTCTCCAAAACTTTGATGTATTTCATAGTCACGCCGTAAGGGCCCATTGATTTTTTTTAAAAAACACTGATCACTCAAAGAATGCTCAAGAACATTAGTCTTTTATGATATTGTCAATTTTTGTTTTTTTTTTTCATTATTTTTATTACAAATTTCAATAAAATGACAACAGACATTTGTGCAGTTGTTGGTGCAACTCTTCTCTTCCTCCACAATCATATCCACACATCCTTTCCGACAACGATATTCTTTAGAATACCTCTGCTCAAACCTTTATATAATCTCTAATCTATAGTTGAAGTTTTATTCTCACTCTTACTTCAAATATTTTGAACATATGAAAATATGAGACGCAGTGTCAACATTAAAACATATATGTACTCTCAAAGAAATATATATCACGATGAATAAATATACATATGTGATTCTCTTTATATTAATGATCTACCGATGCAAAAATTGTAATACTCAATTTTTGAATCATCAATCAGATTATCTGTTGAAATCCAATGAACAGATAGCACAAAGTATGGAGAAAACTCAGTTCAATACAATAGTGATCTTTGACGATTCGAGCTTAGATATGGGGGAACTTTTACAATATGACAAAGAGCTTATACTCACGGGTTTTTTTTCGAAGTAGATTTTCGAATGATTGTATGTAGATAGAAAAATTGCACGCGATATTCACCAACAGATAAAGACTAGTAATATCGGCGGTTACCGTATTCTCTACATTATTTAGGTCAATGGTAATGATTATCTTGTTAATAAGATCTTGAATACATTCATGATCATTTATAGCCTGTTGAATGTAGTTAAAGTTCTTATAAGTTTTGAAGCTAAATATATCATCGTTTTCAATTAATTACTTCTTCAAAATTTACACTCAACTATTTCACTTTGTTAATCTTACACGTCAATACAATGATCATCTTTTCACTAACATTAGAATACTGCAAACAAACAACAAAGAAATATCTTTAAAGATTTTCGATTTTCATTTAGTTGTGTCTAAGATTCTTGCCAATACTTCATTTTATAGATTGAGAAATACAATCAATCCGTGTTAGGATCTATTATCGAGTGCCATTATTGTTTGTACAAACTAGAATCTTATGTCTTTTTTGATAATGTTCATTTTACAACTTGTATGCGTAATTTAACCGCCGATGAATTTCATTACTTTCTTACACTTCTATCTCGAGAAAAACATTAGATTGTTACACAATATCGAAAGCGAATTTATCTTTTCATGTTAAAAAAAAGCATTTTTTTCTTCACAAAAAATGTCACAGATTTGAAACATATACTCTACGGAAAGATGACAGTTTCTAATGATAGCTAACAATGGATGTGTGAGTGAACGACTAATATTTGAAAAACGACATTGACCAACCGCTGACCAAGTTGTAGGTGAGTCTATATGTGGAATGGTTGTGTTTAAAGATTCTGATAGAAAAAACAGGCACATCTATTTGCTTAAATCAACAACATCTCATCTGATCATTGACGAAACGTCATCAATTAGTAAGAACAATCAGACCATATCAACATTAAGAAACAGATATGCACATTCTTAGAACTTGATGATGAACAGTTGTTAATGTCTATTAATGGATTAATCATAATTAAAATTTGTATAGAAAATCTAAAAATATAATCCGAATATCCTTCATAAGTTTTCACTTTAAAAGATCAACCAAGTCAAAAAGAGCCAATCTGAAGTCAATCAAATTCGTATTGAACTGTTGGAATCGTTATCCTCTCAATTATTCAAATCCATGTATTTTACATTTTTAGATTTATTTTAAATGATCTTATATTCAATATGATTAGTGACGGAGTCAAAAGGAGGCTTAAAGATGAGCTAAGTCCTCTCATAATCTAGGTGAACATACATTTGCAATACAGACATTATTGTGCTTAAAAACATGCCTCGGCGGATGGAACTGGCTTAGAGCTTTCAGAATATTTCGAAATTTCGGTTGAACGCCGTATCGTCGAGGTATTTGGAAAGGTTAAAGAAATCTTTCGACATAATCGTTTCCACAGATAATTTCGTATGATAAAACGTCTTTTCCATGCGAATAGAAGTAATGATAGAATACTAATCATTGCAAATGTAAGAAATAAGCCACTCATAGTTTCAATGGCGGCACTAGTAGATGTAACAGATAAGTCAGGACAGCTATTGGTTTGAAACCATTTTCTTTTTAAATCATCAAGAACACCCGACTCTCGTAATGATAATATGCTTACATCAAATTCTTGTCCATATATCCATTGTTTAGGAAAAACAACACCAAATGCACCCTTATCAAAATCTGTACCAACCAATGTTAAATTACAATAGATAGTATTAGTTATATATTCTCCAACACCGGTATCTAAGAAAGATGCATCAATAATATCATTCAATAGACTTTCATAGAGTTCTTGTCGAGATTTTAATGGATAATAATTTCGATTTCCACTAGAAATCTCTCGTAAATAATATTCTTCACTTGCTGAACCGATGCGAACACCAATACGATGAAATGGTATTTTACCATTTTTTATATCATCAATACTCGAAATAATAGCTTTTGATTTTGATATAGTTAGATCTGATGCTAAATTTGCAGTATATGTTGCTACTAATACCAAACTTAAGAAGTAAAGACCAAGTGTTAATAATCGTCCAGCTGCAGTACTTGCATGAAAATCAGCACCATATCCCATAATAGTACCGATAGAATACCATAAACTCATAGCAATTGAAGAAATAATTGATCTTTCATGTAATGCTTCATTTTCCTGTCGTTCTAATAGACAGATTAAAACACCAGCATAAATACTCGTAATAAAAAGTAATATCCAGAGACTAAATGAGAATGGTTTTAAAAATGAGAGAAGATCTACATTATCATTAGTATTTTTTCGCATAATGATACGTAAAGAATTATCAAAAATTGAATTTGAAAAGCTAACTTGTTTTCGTCGACTAGCTGTAATAGTAACATCACCAATGATAATATCATAATCATCATTTATTACTGCTCTAATTAATTCAGTATAGGTCTGATTTAAAGATGCTACTAAAATTTGAGGAATAAATTTCATTTTTTCCTGTAAAAGATCAATAAGATCAGGTATAAAACCAATTAATTTTGTTGTATTTTGTCCACATTTATCTATAACATTTGTTATCATTGTGAAAGGTGTCGATTCAATAACACCAATTCGTAATCGAGTACCAGAAATACATGCACGACCAGTCGGAGGTACTAATGTATTACCAGGCCATATGATAATAGTTCTCTGTGAAGATGATTTCCAATCATCTAAATCAGACCATTCTAATACAGGTACATAATCAATATGATTTTCATATGGTTGAATATTTTGTATTAAATAAAAATTACCATTAATTCGATCAGTTACATTTAGATTAAATTGTATAGGACCCGATACACCAAGAAATGTCATATTTATAATTGTATCGAAAAATATATTTGCATGAAGAAAACGATGATCAAAACAGAATGAAGAATTAAAAATGGATACACACGAAAAAGATCTAGTATTTGTTAATGAACAAAATTGTTCTAAAGATTGAATCAATGACCAAGTTGCATCAAATGCAAATAATGCATGATAATTCACTTTGTTCGATCCAGGAAATGATTCTGGTTCATATTGTTTCCAGATATTGTATGCTGCATCTAATAATGTTGAGTTAATGGGTGTATTAACAATGTCTCCAATAGTAGGTTCTATAGTCAATATACCGATTAACTTTTGATAAGAATTTTGATCAAATGAATTCAATGGAATATTTGATAGTAATATCCATGTAAACTTTGGACCAAGTATATCATAATCAAGTGCATATTGTAAAATGAGAGATGTATAAATTGATTCAGTCCATAATATAATAAGTCGTGTTGAACTACTGATTAATTCATTTTTTAAATTACCTTGAATTTGACGTGTCGTTATATCAAATATGATACTTTTTATAACTATTAAACCCTTGTTATGAAACATTCGAGTGAGTGCTTTTTCACCACCAAATCCGAATGCATCATTTTGATAAATAATAATACAAGATGTCCAATTAAATCGTATGAATAATTTTGTAATTGATAATGCAGCTGTATTATCCGAAGGAATTGTACGATAAAATGCTGGATAAATATTTCGATCAGATAAATCTGGATCGGTTGCAGAATACGATATAACAGGAATTCCAATTGTTTTAGCAAAATTAGCAATAACATGAGCTTCACGTGAAAGTATCGGTCCGACAATACCGACAATATTTGATGTTGATATTGCTCGACATGTACTACTTAGAGTATTGATCACATTACCATCGGTTTCTACAGTCTGCCATCCAATCGATTGTCCTTCAATTGTTAGATTGTATTTTTGTGAAAGTAATATTGCTGCTTTGAACATAGCTCGAGAATGAATGGATAATGTGTTCGATTCAAATTCATTTGATAAATCTTGAAAGAGTCCCAAGAATTGAATGTTTGACAAGTTCGAAGATGGCCAAATTGCATCCGTATATTTTACCTTCAATAATTCGAAGATTAGAAATAAGAAAAAATATTGCATCAATGTACGACTACAATTGTAGATTAGAAGGAATGAATTAAATGTGATGTGAAACAAATAAATCAAACTGAAATGAAAAATATTCGAGATAATAATCATGTGTATGTTCGACTAATCTAGAAAAGTGTTGATACTCAACACACTATTATACAATATCGAAATGAACTACGAGGTCGACATTAAAGAAGTAGGGCGGGCGGACTAAGAGTCTCTAGTCTATCCCCACAAGGAAAGCATACTCTGGAGAAGGTTACGAGAACAAAACTTGCGAATCGCAACATATTTTCACCAATGTTAATTGGCATTTTTTTGTGCTGAAGCGTAAAAATCTTTCAGACATCCGTCATAAGTGTTTTTTTGTAGTATGTCTTTGGAATAGAATGAATCAATGTTAGTGACTATAGATTGCATGAAAAATAAAGACCATTGAATTAATCAACATCTTACATGAAAACAAATTCCAATAATTGAATAGTTTCATTGTTCATCAGGAAATTTATTACATGGAATCAACAAATTAAGTTACTACTAGACATAAAATAACAATATTCAATCATTGGCAACTGTGTGTGTCTCTGACATTCGAAGCTTTCAAATAATATTAAAAGAAAGTTTAAAAGGAAGATATTCTTTGTTTTTCTTTTTTGTAGACGAGCATCCGAGCTCGTTAATAACTATAGAAAAAAAGAAACAAATTCTGTTTATACAACAGTGCCCTTAGAATAGTCACCCACATTCATCTTTTTTCACCATTCATTGAACACATTTTTTTCTGCGAGTTATTTTCATATTCCAATAAGTATTGAACTCGAATATTGTTCATTATTCATATTTTCCTTCCAGGTCTGATTTAATTAACACAAAACAAACAAAGATGTTCTACTTTCTTTACGTCTTTTCTTTTTTCCTCAACTCAGAGTTGTATTATGATGTGAATGTAACAGAGAAGGAGAAGAAAAACAACTTATTAGCACAGCTTCTTTAGAGTTTAAATATAGAATTGAATTAAATGGTAAATAAGGCTGTTGTACATATCTATCAAATCTGTAACAGGAGGTTCTCTTATGCACGATTATATATCTCAAGCAACTCACGAATTCTGATATCGATTATTTCATATTGATTATATAGCAACTGTGACAAATCAATGCATCGTTAATCATTATCTTTGACAACTTGAATATAGATTTTTATCTGTGCAAAAATCAAAAACTGCACTATCTAAAACAAATCTCGTTCAGCTACTTTTTTCATCATTGCCAATGTCTGGAAGAAGGAAAGAACTCGGAAAATTTCGATTTAAAACTTATACTCTCATCCTCTTATCTGTTTACCACAATCATCAGACGCCATAGTTGTCGTCAGATAGATTGGCAAGACGAAGTTGCATAGCACTTGATCAATTCCGAGAGAAACCGACGTTAAAGAAAGTTTTTTGATTGAATAATATGAATGATGCTTTTTACTCAGTTATTTATTCTATCGATTAGCGTCACATCAACTGAAACAGAAAACTGGCTTGTCAGATATAGTTTCATCGTCTAAAATAAATAACAAGTGTTGATAAGAACCGCGTATTTACGAAGAGATACTTTTTTTAGTAGTCAGTTTGTTTGGATCTAATTGGATGATAATGAAATATAAGAATTAGAATTCAATTGGAGCTAAATGTACTTTGTGCAAATCAATAACATTGACTATCATTGAATGAGACGAAAGAACTTTGCAAATATGAAATAAAATCATCGATAAAGCATAGACTATTGTCAGTCTTCATAGAATATCATTGCAATGGATGCAAGCTACGTAGAAAATAGAGAAAATGATTGAATATCGATCGAAACAGTGGACAACTGCAGGAATGGCGAATCAAACGGTGATTTCAGGTTTTTTATTATAAGAACTTAATGCTCAAATGTAATTCGTTGGGTTGTCTATTGTGTTGAATATTATGAAACTCAGAGAAGCAAGGATAAAAGCCGTATTCAATGATATATTTCGAACGCATTCCGAAACTCTCATAGATTCTACAATTCTGGTTGGAGATGAAGTGCGCAGTGTACTATTCATCATATTTTGTGTATATTGTACACTGTACGATAGGTATAACTCAAATAAGTTTTTCAAAACAACATTGCCAACGGTAACTGAAAAAGAAAATATATTGATTATTCAAAAATCATGTTGAAAAAGGAAAGAACGAAGCATTATATTGGTAAGAGGCTAAATGTTTTTTTTTCTTCTATGAGAGTAACAAAAAGTTTTGTAACTAACTTGCAGCAGCACGAGACTACTTCGTGAAACCAACATTTTAAACCTAGTTAGTTCAATTGCTCTCTATCTCTCTGCGGTTCACGATATAATTTTATGTCAAATAAGAATTTGTTCTCTTTCTTGTAGAGAAGAGTCTAGTAAGAATAAATTGTTTGCTTACTTGTATGTCCGCACTTTACTGATTGGTCCAAAAATAATGTGAAAACAAAAGGGATTATTTTCCATAAAACTTAACCAAAGTTGATCGAGAGTGGGGAGTTTAAATCCGAGGTTAGTTTTAATAAATTATTAACTGATTATTAATTATTAAGATTTTCTGAAAAACTTGACCAAAGGTAATTGACGGTGGGGAATTAGAATTCAAGGTCAGCTTTGATTAATTAATTATTAACTAGTTAATAATAACTAATAATTTCCACAAAGCTTGATCAAGAGTAGTTGAGGATGAGCAATCTGAATCTGAGGTCAGTTTCTATTAATTAGGTCTCACAAGTCAGACCTTTCACTGTTGAGAAACCTGAACTCAAATGTCTGGATGAACTTAACAGAAAAATACAGCGAGAATATGCTCATTTCACTTTTTGAAATAGTGTACATAAATAATTTGCTGAGAGTTCAGAAACAGCATTTCTATGAGCAAGTCGGTAGACGAGCGTTGCTTGTTTAAGGTAATTGATACATTTTTTGTTTAGATCATACTACATAGTGGCGTCCTCTATTATATTTAATTTAATTATTTACTTGTAGCACATTCTGTGTAGTGTAATAAGAGATCATGTCTGATCATGTATTTGTCGTATCTTAGCTTTTTTTTGCTACATATAAATGAATAGCATCCCATGTCTACTTGTACACTATTGGTAGGCGTTACGTCACGCTTTATGCGCTTGGTACGTGTGACATAACATGTGTCAACTAGCAAACAACATGTCTTATAAAGATGTTAGAGTATTATCTTGATAATTTATGTACTTTTTCATTAAATTTGAGATGTTTTATGTAAAAAAATCACATCAATCAATTTTATTATTTTGATTTTGTATTTGTAAAATAGATAATTTTCAAATTGTTTTGCTTATATCTGCTTTCTTTTGATGTTTTTACGCTTTCAAAAATAAAAATAAACTTGTAAAAAACAAATTAATTATTTTTTCTACAGTTCATCATAAAATCAGATGAAACAATACCCATAAATCTAGAATGAAAATGACCGATATAAGAGACCTGTGACAAACTGTATGTACGCTTCGTACGTGCTGTAAATATATAACACTTGGTATGCGTACGACACCATAGAGGTCACGCTTGGTACGCCTGACGTCACCTCTCTGTTCGTCACGCGTACCAATCGTACGTGACGTCATGCGTACGATTCGCTTATCCATAAAATATTTCTGTATTTTGTGTACACAAATAATCGTTTATTTATAGCTTTGATTTATTTATAGGCAAATGACGATGAAAGAAACTAATTTTCAAATAACAAAATTTGTACTAGTAGTACGAGAGTATAGTCTCGCTAGTAATATATAAAGTTATTCATTACACAGTAAGCCTTAGAGTGGTTAGTTACTTTTTTAAATATATATCGAACTGATTTTAAGATTAAAGAAAGCGATTTGTAAGTATGATTTTGTGTTTCATCAATCATTCTTGCAAAGTTAATAAAGCTTATATTTGCATGTATACTAATATTCTAAACTGAGTGAGAGTGTTGTTCAACATAAAAAAAATGGTGATTAAATGCTGACAAAGAGTTTTTCTATAAAACTACTGTCTTATTTAAAGACACTTTCAATACTGTAAAAAAAATAGATTGCTTATTCATAATGTAGTAACTGTAAGAGCGTAGCAAAAAAGTGAACAACATCATGTAATCAAGCGATTGAAAATCTATAAGCTTATTTTATTATTAGATCGACGAATTTTATAACAAAATGAAATCCAAAATAGAAATATATGCATTACAAATTACTCTTGCAATTATGGGATCAATATCTTTAATCATTGGAGCAAGTGGTATTTGGATGGGACCAAACAATATGAATAAGGTCACTGTTCCAATACGTCTTGATAATCATTATCGTTATCTTTCTGGTTTGGCATTAGGCTTTGGACTTATTAATTGGTTTTATATAATTCCACGTATTACACAAGCTGGAACTATTGTTCGCATGTTTGCATTTATGGTTTTTCTGGGTGGTATAGCACGAGCAGTTGGATTCTTTAAATTGGGTATTATGCCAGATACATTTAGCCTAATCGCAACCATATCAGAAATCTTTTTTACACCAATTCTATGCTATTGGCAAGCACGTATAGCTCAACGCAAAGATCAATAAATAAATTTGTACTTCAAAAACTATCAAACTATAATTATTGTTTTGTTCTGAAAAATCTTTTGACTTTGTAACTACTCTTCGATTCTATTAAATTCTTATTTTAACCCTTTACCCTTCCCCCCCCCCCCTTGGTCGCTGGAATGACCATTTGTAGAACAATTGCAGAAAATAAAGGAAGCATAGAATTCAAAACCTCTAAGAGCACTATTTGTAGTAAACTTC